GAGCGGACCGCTGCGAAACGGGCAGGAAGAGAGTGAAATAGATTTCTGAAGATATTCACTGGGATGTTGAGCCATGCCGATTCCAGTGACGTGGCCAGCTGCGCTAGATTACGCGGTTGAGGATCCATGGCGCGAACAACCCGATCTAGGTGGTCCCACAGATTCTCGATTGGGTTTAAATCCGGTGAGTTTGCTGGCCAGGGGAGTACGGTAAATTCATCCTGGTGCTCTTCGAACCACGCACATACACTTCCGAGCTGTATGACACCTCGCATTGTCCTACTGGTAGATGCCATCATTCTGAGGAAAAATCATTCGCATGTAGGGGTGGACATGGTCCGCAAGGGCAGATGCGTACTTGTGATGATCCATCGTGTCATATATATATATATATATATCAAATTCTGAAATTTTAGAGAGTTCTCTTATTTGTTCACCATTAGGAGGCATATCCGGCAAAAAAGTCCTGTTTCGTTCTATCAGCACCTCAACGGTAGTGTAGCAGTTCCGTGCAAGCTCTCACGTATCTCTCTAGCCTAGACGACTGACGCCAGCCGGATTGTATTGGGTTTGCCGGATTGTATTGGATCAGTGAACGTCCAAAAGGTTTAACACTAAACATAACCACAACAGGTCAAAAGACCGGTAATTGTATGTTGTATTGTTTTGTAAGCGTTGGTATGTTTAGTGATAAGTGTTTTATGACCCCACCGATTGTAAAGTGCGTTTTGTGCTATGGTTTTAAAACACAAAGAATGCCAAGCCAGCAGAAATTAATCATCAACTTCGTAGAGAGTTTTGGTGTTATTGCAATGAGTGAGGAAATGGTTTCGGTAATTCAATAACGAAGGCAATAATTTTCATGGCAGCGCAAATCCCTATTATGTTAGTGTCGCTTTAAACTTTATTCAACAATTGGGCTGAAAGCAGTTTGATCACCTGCCGTACAGCTCCCATCTCGCACCTTCAGATTACACCTGTTCTTGAACTCGAAAGTGATTTTGAAGAGGAGCGTTGTGCCAACGATAATGATGAGAGAGAGAAAAAAAACGATGCTTGACAGTGACTGTCTTCTATGTCGACATCTCTCTTTGAAGATAGTATAGACAAATTTTTTTCTCGCTACATTACGGTGCTAATTATGTAAAAATATAGTTACCGTAATGCTCTTCTGTTTAAAAATAAATTTCGTTTTGACAAAATAAGTTTTTTTTAAAACGGTACTTACTTTTCGGACACGCGTCATATATTTGGTAAAATTTTCAGCTTTTGGTTAAGTTTAGTATCTCCAGTAACCCAGGACTCCGGTTTTGTACTGAACAGTGTACTGAGATCGTCTACTATGATTATTAATATATAGTAATACAATTAACAAATAAAAGTATATATTCAACAGAAATATATATTTGGTCAGTATATAATCAGCAATAAATAAATGAGGCATTGTTTACATGAGGCAACAAATATCCCCGTTGCACTCAGTACGCGAAGTGAATTAGGTAATATCTGGACGATTATCAGTTATTGCAATTACCGCATTGTCACAAAAATTGCGTATTTTATCAATAACTTCCAAAGTTGAATACGTATAAAACTAAACTTTTGTTTTACTGTCTTCTCTGATCTCTGACTGTCTATATTGATAATAAACATTTTGGGAAAGGAACTTCTATAAATTGTCCTCTGGCACAAGAAAAAACTACTGAATTTTGTTAAGATTTGAGATATATTTTTTAACAGGAAATTAAATTCAATATTTAAAAATCTCGTTTATTATCCAGTTCATTGATAAAAAATTACACTATACTAACTACAGGCATAGGAATTCATTGAATTAATGTATTCAGCGAATTAAAATATTAATTGCATAATTTAGTATTAAAGATTTTTGTGCATTTGGTAACAGTGTCAAAATGTTTGTCGAAGTTCTTTTCCCGCCAACTATTTTTGGTCACCGAAAAAAGATGATCAACATCAAGATGGTTAGAAGTAACTTAAAAACAGAGATAGAAAAAAAAATACGCGCTCTAACATGAACTCTATTAAAAATTAACTAATTAAAATTCATAATACAATTAACAGAGACTTCACAATCAAGACTTCCTCACGGAGAATATAATAATTGTTTCCCCTTTTGGCATAATTCAGATTTCTATCAAATAAAAAAAAAAAAAAATTCGTATAAGGATTTATATACAATACTTACTGACACAGAAATAAAATATATTAGAAAAATGAAACCACAACTAAGCGATGCTAAAATGAAATGACATTAAATTAAAAGTGATTGAAATATTTATTTACATGATGTAAGAATGTGTTTTCACAGACTTGTCCTCAAAAGTGTTAGAAATGTTTGGCACTGAAAAAAGATTTAGACTATTGTAAAGTTATTAAATGAAATCTAAGAATTATATATAAATTCTAAATGTTCTTAAACTATCTTGGACATGCGTAACTAAAAGTTGAAAAACCACAAAAAATTCAAACAATTTATGTAGACAATTCTCATATAAATTTTGTTTATTAAAAAACAATGCTTCAGCTGAAGGAGATAGCGGGTATCTAAAGCATTTTCTTTTTGTCAGTGATGCCCTTGAGAATACTATCTGGTTTAGTTTTAAATTAAAGTCAATTTTTTATTAAATATTTGTTAATAAATCAAATAGAACATTCTTCAATAAAATGAACTTTAAAAAGTGCTAATTCAATTTTAACCATAATTAAAATGAAGTTATATGCATTATCGAGAAAAGGCTTCTGCATCTAATTATCTCTTTATTTAATAAAAAAAAAGGAGAAAGTTTTAGCTTTTGTGTGGAAATATTGCTGAATACTGAAGCACCCACTATTTCAAACAATTGAATAATATAAGAAGTTCATAAATTTTTCTGTCAAACAAATATAACAAGGAATGTATAGATGAGTTTATGAGTGAAGGATAAATAATCATAGTGGGCTTAATGGACATTTGAATGCACAATTTACCGTCTTTCATCATCTTTCTTGATTGCATGCGCTAAGCACCAAGCAAACATGCATCCTAGTAGCTCAATAACAGCAATACCTATTGCAACGCCACCAATAATTTCAATAGATTCCTTGGCAATCTCAAACATTTGAGGATAGCAACCCATTTTCCAAGCCGATTCTGGACTGCAATCTTTGTTGCCCTTGCAACAGCTGTTAGGAACTTTGAGCTTTAGTTTAGAATAATCATTAGCGCTTTCAATACCACAGCATTGTAGTTTTGATTGCATTTGATCCCAAATTTTCATAGAATCTTTCCTTTGTTGGGCCAGACTTTCATTCATGCTTGATTTAAGAAAATCTTCAACTTCTCCTTTGTGTAGATATGCTGTAATCCCACCAGCAACCTCAACAACCATTATGAGAAGTATGAGTAGTCCATAGATCGTCACCATAAAATGGTTATATTTCAAAGCACCACAGCATCCGAAGAAGGCTATCACAAATATACCGCAACCTACGGCAATAAGAATGTAAGGTAGTGATAAATATTTGTTATCCATGAATTCTGTCAGATCCCTTTTGGTCGCAACAGCCCCAATTACGATCAACACGAGTCCACATATCACAAATACCAAATTAAATACGAACAGCACATATCTGATACATTTCATACTACTTCGCATTTTTGATAGATTTTATTAAAACTAATACACAAACGAAATGAAATCAGATTCAAATTCTGAAGTAGAATAATGAGAGATAAACACAGGCAAAGCAAGTCAGTTAAAAATTTTAGAACGTCACGTGAGTACAAATTTTTTGCTTAGCGATTTACCGCCTGTTTTATTTATCTGCTTTTGCGTGTTTCGGTGTTATATCTTAAATAAGTTTCTTAATTAGAATAATGAGAGATAAACACAAGTAAAGCAAGTCAGTTAAAATTTTTAGAGCGTCACGTGAGTAAAAATTTTTAGCGATTTACCACCTGTTTTATTTATCTGCTTTTGCGTGTTTCGGTGTTATATTTTAAATAAGTTTCTTAATTAGATAGTCTTAAAAAGAGGATGAACCATATTTTAGTCACCATAAAAAAAGGATAAATATTTACCACCTAAGTTCTAAGTGATATGTTTCATTTCTTAAATTTTGATAAGTTTTAAAATTTAAAGTGTACAGCTATTATCACGTTTTTAACTCGAGTTTAAAACTTAGAGAATAGTTGCATTTTTTATTATTATTATTTTATAATGTATTATTATTTTTTAATATTATAATGTAATTCTGCGCTACATTTTAAGATAAAGTTAGAAAGGTCGTCAAATCTTATTAACCGTTTTACAATTATTATTGCTGTGCAAATAACGTTAATATGCCGTAATAAGTTAAAGTTAAAGAGATCTGTTAAATGATTTATAACTTAATGAACAGCTTCATGCTTAATGTGATGCAAGCAAAAATAATATTAAATATATCCGCCCATTTGGTAAGCGAAAATTTTAAATTACGGTTGTGAACTAATAAAATTTTTTGTACAATATATTATTTTAACAATTGTTATTTTAAAAAATGATTACTTATAAAAATTACTTCTGATTACCAATAGATCTAAATATTTATAATACGAATAGATAATAATATTTGGATGTGGGAAGTAGAGGCACAAAGCGTAAACAAACAGAATTTCCTTTACTACATATATGTTAAGTGGATAATTTTAACCTTAGTGGAAAAATTGTGTTCTGCCAAGAAACGACAATAATTGCGAAGCAATCGGGGTTGGTGAGCGGCAGCGAGCAGGGGGCTTAACTTCCTAGTATAATGTATGAAGAGAATGAAATGATAACAAATAGCCAATCACAGAAGACTTGCGGTTAGTAACGCACAAAACAGCCAAATAAAATTGAGAACGCATGTGTGTGAAAAAGTAATAGTTTTTAATAATTAATTGCTTGCTAAAATGTTACGTTGCTGTTGTTGTTGTTAATTTACGTCGCACTAGAGCTGCACAATAGGCTATTGGCGACGGTCTGGGAAACATCCCGGAGGATGATCCGAAGACATGCCATCACAATTTTGATCCTCTGCGGAGGGGAGGGCACCCCCACTTCGGTAGCCCGATCACCTGTGCGCGAAGTCGAGCACTTTACGGTAGCACAGTTTAACGAGGACCAATACCGCACACCCTCGGTCCCTACGCAGACTGATCCACGTGGTCACCCACCCGCACACTGACCGTAACCAGTGATGCTTGACTTCGGTGATCTGTTGGGAACCGTGTCTTAACGATCAGTCCACTGCGGGACGCTAAAATTTTACGACTGAGGCTACTATACAAGAACTTTTCTATTGGCCTAAAAATCACGAGGTAGGATCCAGTTTTTCCTCATTCATTTGAATATTGCTTTGGTTGTCATCAGCATAAAATTAACGAAAGTTGTAAAGGTATTGTTTCCCTTTAAATATTTTTGAATCCCTAATTTAAAGTTATTTTCCAGCACTGCTATTATTAGCGAAAATATTAAATTATGGTTGCGAATTCATCAAATTTGTTCGTACAATATAATGTTATAAGAATATAAATGTTATTATAAAAAATGATTACTTCGAAAAATCACTTTTGTTCACCAAGAGATCTAAATGTTTTTAATACTAATAGATAGTAATATTTGGACGTGGGAAGTAGAGGCACAACAGAATTCCTTTTGATATATGGGTCATTCTCACGAAAACTGTCATTTTTCAGTTCATAAAATCCCAAAAAAGTAAAGTGAATAAAAAGCTCTGAAACTTTCTATATTAATAGAAATATGTAATGGCATTATAAAGAAAGTATATATCCTATAAATTATACTTAATATTTAAATTAATTAATTTTTTAAATAATTAATTTATAATTATTAATTTATAATAATTAATAATTAATTAATTAATTTAATAAATAAATTAATTAGTTTAATAAATCAATTTATTAATTTATTTTTCAAATTAATTAATAAGTAAATTAATTATTTTCACTATTTAAAAAGTGAGGGACTGACACTAATAGTGAGGGAATGATATTTTATTTTAATACATGTTTTTATCTAAGTTACATCTACCTAAAGTTTGAAAATGATAACATACTAAGTATATCTA